GGGGGGGGGGGGGGGGGGGGGGGAGGGGGGAGAGAGAGAGTGTGAGTGGAGTGGTGCTTAGTGGGGTTAAACCATGACATTAGGCTTGCACAGAAATGTCACCTCTCATTTGACCAGCTGTGGAGATGAGAGCAGCCAGCAGATATGGGATCATCGAGGCAGGCTCAGAGGCAGAGGAGCAGAAATCTAAAACAATGTAAATGCACTAGTCCCTAAATTCAGTTTGAAGAAATGTTTCAAAAAACAGTTATTATTGCAAATTCTAAAGAAAGAAAAGAAATCTCCAGACATTAAATCATACCTAGATAAATATTTACCTCCAGTAGCAGGCAATGATTCTTTTTTGTTGCTGTACCCAAAAATATCCATTCAGGTCAGTGGAGTTATTTATACCTGTGGGTTTAGACTAGCACAGAGAAATCAGAGCAGAGGCCACATATCAAAAATTAATTTTCAAAATCCTTTTTGGACATGCGTGCTATTGTTTGAGTATCTCTGCCTAAGAGGTCTGTCAATTGGTGCCAAATGAATATACAACAGTGCTTCCCAAGAGGTCAGAGATGGAGATTGGAAGAGAAAGCTTTGATTTCAGTAGAACCACAGCCCAAAAAGAGCAGTAAAATAGGTTTGTTTTTCCATTTTATAATTAAGAATGAGCACAGCAGTTATTCAAACACACCAGCTTTGGGTAGTTCTCTATTTCATTGATGTTTTTCCAAATTTCAATTGAAATTTTGTTGAATGGTTGAATGTTGAATTTTCTATTATGCAGGAAAACTTGCACTTACTTGCAAGTCGCTTGATGAAACACCACAGTGCCAGTTTTAGATTCTCCTCTTCTGGCATAGAAAGGCCACAGTGACTGGAGAAACCCTACATTGGAGCGGCATGGTTGCTCTCGCCCAGTTGGAGCAGGATGCTGGAAAGGGGCTGGAGCATCAGCCCTGCCCAACAGCACCTGGGTGAGGTGTGGCAGAGCAGAGCACAGCCCAACTGCTGCCTTGAAGGCAAAGCCTGCCAGTCCTACACAGGGAAGGAGTTAGTGCTGAGAGCTTTAATTTGGAAATATCAATAAAGATCATTGGAGCTTTCACAGCCACTCTTGCCAGCGAATGCGTTAGCCTGTCTCATCGTTCCAGAGCTGCTGCATTTAAAGACAAACATATGATGACTTCTCCATAGCACTGACACAGGCATGTGCAAAACCGATCATTCCTTTCCCAGCACAACCTCTGAAGTGATGGCACAGCTAGGGCAAGCACAGCTGAAAGCAGTCTGAAGCCAGAAACACTGCAATGCCTGCTGCTGTTGAGACCAGAAGCCATGCAGGATCCATCCTCTGATCAAAGCCACCTGATGCCTCTTTCTGTCACCTATTAGGAAGCCAATTTATAGGCTTAAACATTCTCACCTCCTGCCGTTTTCCAATCCTGTGGTCATCAGAGATGGATACAAGATAATGAAGTGCTCTCTGCTGCTGCTCACCTCTCCCAGTCCATCGCACCAGTCTGGGGACAGCACATGCAGTGCTAAACCACCTTTAGCACCAGCTCTGATCCATGTGCCATTTGTATCCGAGCACAGAAGCAGCAGCCTCAGCTGCTTTTCAAACACCCCAGCTGATTTTGGTTACTGGAAACAGTCCACTGCCAATGCTGTTCTGAGCTGCTTACACCCAGGTCTGCTGTAATCTGTATTTTTAAGACTTTGTTTCCCATTTAAAAAAGAATTCCCCCCACCTCCCTTTTGTGTCCATGAAGCATCTTGGGTTTTATTAATTTTATATTTTTTCTTTTTTTCATTTTATTAATTTTCATTTATATTTTGCACAGTTTTCTCAGGGAAGACCATGGCCCCTGTATTAAATGATGTAGAGTCTGTGTTTCAGTCTGACAAGGCCTGTCAAGCAGTGGGTTAATTAAGCCTCTTAGCAGGATACAATGAGTCTAAAGAGGATAGAAAGATCAGGATTCTTTGCGGTGAAGGCTTTTACTCACTACTATTTTGGGAACCCATTCATGCCAGCATGGAGGGGCTGCTTTCGTGGGAAACACATTGGATTACACGAGCAGCCCCCTAAAGCTCCTGTTCCCTCTTGGTACGCAGCAGGGGGGTTGTCCCCAAAGCGACATCTCTGGTGGCACTTGTGTGCCTGCTATGGGGATACATCAGAGGCACAAGGAGTCCCAGTTTGGGCAGACATGAGACCATCTCCATTAATTCCCATTTTAGGGATGTGTAGAGTGTTCTGCATCCCACTTTGGGGACTGGAACATAAAAGCTAATGCTACGCCTTGAATCATCCAACTGCTTCATATCTTGGAACAAAAAGACACATTAGATGATAGTGACTTTTGTATATTGAGGGTGGAAGGGGGAAGGTCCTTTTTTATTTGCTTTGGCAACCCAACAGGGCCCTTGAACACTTCAGCTATGAACATTCAAGAAAAGTACGTTACCTGCACAAGATTAATATAGCTACAGGGGCTCTGTGATCCACAGCTGTCAGAACGATTTGCCAGATCACTTTAAAAAATTGTGCCATCAATAGAGTTACTAAACTTACTTAAACAAGTTTCACATTCAGATTTAGAAACAAAATATGAATTAGTCTTGCTGAAATGGGTTAGTTACTGCAGGGAGACACAGCATGGTCATTCAGGTCGGATCCTGTATCCTGGCCTGTCACTGACCTCTGACAGCATCTTAGGTCTTTCCACCTCCTTTCTTGTGTGCATCTTGTCCATTTAGGTCACGGTATCTTCAAGGAAGGGAACAGCTCTTATTTTTTGCTTGTGCATTAGGGTTCTGACTTTGATTAGTTAAAATAGAATGTGGTTATCAACTGCTAATTAATAGCAAACAATTTCAGACTCTTCCATCGCTCTCCCATCAAATACTGCCTGTATTTCCCTTCCATGGCTCATCTTCACTGCAGGGGGACCACAGTCCCTCTGCTACAAACGTTGTTTCTGGTGAGCACAGGGTAAGTGTGTGCGGGCTCTGTCCATGCACTCGTCTTTCCAAACAAGCCAAAGAAGGTGTCAACCAAAACCTGCAGACTGCTCAAGGAAAGAAAGCGTCACACTGAACAGAAAATGAGGCCAAGAGTAGGAAACAAAGGGCAAGCACCACTGAAATGTTTCAGGCTGGAAAGAGGTTACCACTAATTAGAGTGCCACTGGGATGAGCGTTAAGCATCACGGCTGTTCAGCACAAACGAGCGCTGCTGGTGCTGCAGCAAGGTTTCTGAGGATCTAGCTGATAAATGGAGCACGTATGGGAACAATAGCCATTAGGCAATTAACTCCTACAGTATGTTGCTCATGTTTCCATTATTCTAGATACTGAAGAGATACTTCACTCAATACGCATTTTCATAGTTTACTGAGAATCAAGTTATGCTTGTAGAGCCCAATTGCTACAATTTAGGTTGTTCTCCAAAAAGAAGGACTACATTGCTTTCCACTGTTCTCCAGCCCAGGCCAATTCCCAGGGAATTTTTTCAAAAACAAGTTTCCTGTAAGTTTACTAGCTAATATCTTTACAGAATATGGTCTAATTTTCCTTATGATGTGACTCGGTTGACAAGTCTTTTGTGGCTTCTTACTTGCTCAGTTTGGTGTGTTTAGAAATCTGTTGTACCATTGTTTTTTTCTGTTTTACCATTGGTTTTTTTCCCATCCTTCACATGTAGTGCATATCTATAATGTCCCCACACATACAGCAGTGGAACATCACCTACAATACTAGTACTGAGAAGTGCCTTCTGGCTAACGTACTTCTTGTCCAAGTACTCCGAAATCTCCATGCTGATTTGGACTGCTTTCAGATTGACTTCTGAGGTTTACCATGGGAGTTCAGGATGGAGCCAGGGGTGCAAGTTCGGGATCATTTGAATCAGGCTTTCCTGTAACACTGTCCCAGAGAGAAAACAAATATTGCAACAGAAATACTCCAGCACTTCTGATGGTTTCTAGATCGCTTTCTGTTTTTTGCACCCTGTGTTGTTCAGCACATGGTGTGACCCAACACAACAACTGGTAGCTGAGTCCCTCACCCTGCTCCTGCCTGCTAACCCAGCAGCAGCACAGCCCCACCACCCGCCCGGGTCTGGCTTGGGTTTCAGAAGCTGGAACTCAGTGTTGGGTTGTAGGTACGTCCCTTAGTCCCTTCACTGAAAATCTAACAAGGCTGAGAAAGAAAAGATTTATTAGAGCAGCGCATTTACTCTGCCAAAGGTAAACTCCTCGCTGCATCGTTTCTCCAAGTTTTGCTCATTACTGTTTAAAATTCCTAGGGGATGTGTTTGCCTCCTACTTCACAGGACACTTTCATCACTTAATAGATGAACTGGCAATATTTTCATTTTCTTCATGTAAAGCCCTTCCTCTCTTTTTATACCCTATGGTCATAATATTTAATTGTTTCTCTTCCCAATCTTGTAAATCATGACATTGCTCTCTCCTCACTCGTCATTTAATCAAAATAGGACTCAATACAAAACTTCATTGACTAAGTGTAAACCCAGCACAGGGAACAAAAGCAGAAGGTCTTGGCTTTCATTTATTTGAGCTCAGCTCATGCCTAATCCCGTTGCTATGATCCTGGCTACGTAAGAATGCCCAGGACAGCCGATATATTAATTCCTCTCATAAGCGGGTGTATGTGGCCAGAAGGGAAATGCAGCAATGCTGATGATATCTCCTGGGGATGAAAGCACTCACAGGATGACCTGTTGAGCTCTTCTCCACTTTCCATGATATCAATAAATTTTTCTTTTCCTTCTTTCAGCTCTGCCCTCAGGAAGAGTAATCTATTGCACCATGGCTACAGAACATTATTTCATAGTTACAGCAGCTCTGGAAACCTTGCACAAGGATGAATACCGTTAAAAAGCCAAGTTAGATTCCTTTTAAAAAGCTTCTTCTTTCTTATGCTGTCACTGCGGTCAGGGCTTTCAACAGCACCACTTCTGCCTTGAAATACACAAGCTTTTAACTTTTGCCAAGGGAACCAACTAGAGAGAATGAAGCCTCTTGACATCTTGGCTTCTCTGTTGCCAAAGTGCTTCTGAAACTACAGCCAGTCTGAACACTGAGGAAAAGGTCTGGAACAACATGAGTGCTATAGGAGACTCAGCAAAGGAAGCATTTCATAGGTTATAGTTCAAGGGAAAAAGAAAAAAGGTATATATATACACACATACACACATATACACACACACTGGGATTCAAGTCTATGGCAAGAAAGCCAATTTCTCACTGAAGTCCAGAAATTTTTGGAGTCAGATATGACAGCTGCCCTACAAGTGGTAGCAGGCATTAAATGATTCACTTATGGGATGAGGAGATGTTATAACCATACCTAGGATTTTAATCCATTTTTATGGGACCTGATGTGACAGTGCAAAACCTGGTGTAAATCACCACAGCTTCACTGAAGCAGAGAACGTGTGTTACATGTTGTCCATTATGCGTTGCCTTTACTACAGTGACAACCTACACCAGAGCTAGAGCTGGTCAAGACAGCAACCAACATGCTGTAGGAAACACTGATTTTTTCAAAAGCAAGTTTCCATTTGGAACAAAACCCAACAATTTCGACATGGCAAATGCCACCACACCCACTGTTAGAACAACCAGCTTTCCCTGCAAGTCCTGGATAGCAAAAGGCAGCCCCAAAATCCCAACGGGGCACGTCCAGTGCTGGAAGAGCCATGGAGGCAATGGGGCCAAATCTCACCAGGGCTGACCACCTGTGAACACTGCACTGCAGAGAGGGCAGCAAAGCCTAATAACAACATGTTTCAGAAGAAATGAAGCTTTCCAACCCAGTATTGGTTCATGTGGAATGGTACTTTAAGCTTCAAGAAATGAAAGTAAATGGCAACCCTAGTGTTGTGTTTTGCTTTATGGCACAAAAGCTACACCTCGGAGAGAATAGCATTGGCCAAATTACATGGGGAATGGTAGCTGAATGTTTTTATGGAGAAGAGACATGTCTGTCCTTAAGTGTCACCAACAGTCCAAGTTTCTTTATCTTTATCATGACTTTACCCTTTCTCTGAAGGGCTGCAGAATTATGCCCGCTAAAAAGACACCAGTGTTTTGGTCTAACGGTTACTTTACGAAGAACACAAATCTGCACCCAACCCACTCTACTGGAAGAAACCCACACCTTCCGTCTCCCTCTAAGGTTTTCATTGCAAATTACAGTTGAGTCCAGCTTAATTTTGAGAGAAATATAAGATTGCAACCAAGCCAGTCTGGATTTCAGTATGCCAGGAAGGGGAAGGCAGGGGGAAAATCTGACATTACAGATCCATCTTCTGAACTCCCAGTGGAGGTTTTTTCCCCCAGAAAAAGTAAGCAGCTCTTTTTATAGCTCATGAGCCTATTACTTCTAATGACAACAACAGATGACTGTTTTAAAACTGAAAAGAGATATATTAATCCAATTTTCAGCTTTTCAGCATGTGGTACTGTCTACTAATTTTCACAAAAGAGGAGACTGATGAACTAGATTAGGAATCAGAAGGTTACTGTAAAAAAAGTCACACATCTATTACCAAAACACTTTTCTACACTTCTCGCATTTCTGAAAGTCCCATTTAGGCCAAGCAGTATGTATTTGGTCCATAACTAAAAGAGTTGCTTTTCAGAAAACATGCACAAATATCTATTACGTTGCACTGTAGCAGCACTTACAAAACAGTCCCCGAGCCATCAACTTCACAGTGACTGCCTTTGCTTGGACAATGCACCTGCAGGATTTAATGCCAGGACACTTTGCCCTCCAACACTGCACGCATGGGAATACCCAACCCTGGGCAGGACAGGCATCCCCGTGCCAGGGCGGTGATGACAGAGGTGAGGCAGAAGCATTAAGCAGCTCTGAGGCATGAGAAGTGTGGACAGGCATGCGTGGAAGAGGCTGCCAAGGAAGATGGCCCCAGCATGGCCTGGCTCATCAAACCTTTCCACGCCACATAGCTGCTCTTTATACAGCAGCTTTGTCCTCAGCCACAGCATCAAGGAGCAACGCTGGCTCCCAAAAGGTGCCACCAGTTCCCAGCCAGCCTGAACACAGAGGCCACTATGCTTTGCTCCTATTTTCAGGCGTTTGAGACATTGTCACTAACATGTTCCCTCTCCTGCAAGGCACGTGAGTTAGAGGTGCCAGCACAGTCAGCAGCCACATGAAATCTCTGGTCGAGGACTCTGGAGAAGAGCAGCCACATCTATGGACTTTAGGTTCATGGAAAAATATGTGCATTCACAGAAGCACTATTTTCTCTGTTATGATGAACTACAGACCGAGCAGTTTTGATTAGGGTCTTAATCTTTATGTATATTGTAATTTCCACCAAACACTCTTGTGTTTGTCTTCAATATGAGAAATAGCTTTTCCATGCTGATGATAATGAAACTACTCACTCATTCTGATGCTTATAATTATGCAAGCACACCAAGAAACCAGCAATCCACTTATTAATGTGCCAGCTGAGCTGTGCTTGCTAGAGACAGTAAGCACAAGTTATGTCAGTCACCATCCCTGCGCTACTTTCTTTTCCATCCCCACCATCTCTTGGTCATACAATAAGACATTTTCTAATACAAGTGGAAAATATTTTATATTTAGCAGCCAGCAACTGCTCAGCCATAAAGACCATTACAGCTGCAGAAACAGAGAAACAGTCCTCCAAAGCCAAATCTCTTCAGCAGGACAGCACCCTGCATCCAGCCTAGCCAACATCCCTCATCATCCGCTCCAGAGGTTACATCCCAGAAGTTCAGCAGTAACAAAGGACTTGCATTTTTCTGTGCAGATTTAACTTCCATAAATCTTCCTCAGCACTCTCAAGAAGTAAATCTGCATCATATCCATTTTCAGGATGAGCATAATTATGCTAAGAGGCATGCACAGGCCAATTAAATCAGTAGGGAGATTAGCAAAAGGGCTACCTAGGCTAAAGCAAATGCCATGGCCCTTGCTTGGATCCCAACACTGATAGCGTTTTAGGATTGAGCTAAGAGCACCCTACATCCATATATCATTACCACCTTGCCAGAGCTGAGCTGTAAGCTAGGGAGCCAACACGGGCTCCCGGACAGCTACTGTTCTTGCACGAGCCAACAGCTCCAACTAATAACCTCTCACAAAACTCATCAGCTTAACTTAGCAGGGATTTTTTTTTCTTTTTTCTTCTCTTCAGTCCCCAGCTTACTGTACACAAACTGGACAGCAAATTTATCAAGGTAGAGACCCTGTGTTTGCAGAATGATCACCACGTTTATGAGGCTTCATATACACAGAGCACCTTGCTAAGGGATTTTTTTTAAGCTCCTTCAAAAAGAGACTGTTTATGCCCTGGCATTTCACCCCAATGCAATTGGAAACAGCTACAGTGCAACTTAAGAGGGGGATCACAGCAGAAATTCCTCTAACTTCTATAGCACTGCTGGGGACCACTATAAAATGGTACTGAGCTAATTAGACAAGTCATAAAGATGTTCCCTTGGCAATCTCACAGATGAAATAATCTAATCTTCTACACCCTGCCTTCCTAGTTGATCTCTTGATAAGAGTCATTAACACAATTGTTCAGCCTACTGTAGTCCCTTTATAAAGTGCATATAATTTACAATCCCATTAAAAAGATGGCCACAGATTAGTCTCAGAGGCAAATTACAAAACTATTTAGTTGTGGTTTTAGCACATTAGCTATAGCTATATGAATCCTGGAGAACAAAAAATAATCACAGAACATAGCAGGTTTCAGAGCAAGTATACCCATCAAAACACACC